TGGATAATTAAAAATAATGAGCCTATCTTAAAACATTAGAAAATTTAAATAAAAAACAATCAGCAGATACAATACAAACTTGTGATTTATTACTTTATTTACAACTATACCACTTAGTGATTTGGTAATGGTGATTAATTCATCAATAGACCAATAGATAGAAAAACAAACTTTTACTGCTAACAATTTCAAGAATATGTTCAGTTTTTGCATATATAATAACTATGTTCATTTTGATAAACATATTTATAAACAAATAGTAGGTATACCAATGGGTGCTAATTATTCAAGCAGTGTTGCTAATTTATATCTTTACTATTATGAAAATAAATTTATAAATAATTTTCTGTAACTAGTAGATATATTGATGATATAACTAGCATCAGTAATCGGTTAATAAATAATTATATCAGTAATATTTCTCCTACAGTTCTACAAATCGAAAACACCTTAATATCAAATACTGAAGTACATTATTGATGGTGTGTGCCCAGGTGGTACATGTCTGTTTTGTAGCTGCATTGTTTCTGTTTTCTTTTTCTTTCATTTTCTATTTAATACTACAATTAGTTATTTTTCATTTAAGGTTTTGATATGCTATTCCTCCTTATGATGTAATATATATATATATAATTATTTATGTGAGCTACAAAACATTTTTTTTTAAATATTACATGAGAAGGAAGGATAGTGAGAATTTTACACAGCGTATCAAACCTTAGATGAAATCTAATTAGATTTAATTTAATTTAATTTAAGAAAGAAAAATAATTTAAAAATAAATGAAAAAATGTATGTGAAAAATAAAATCTCTTCTAGAAGTAAGACCCAAATTGAGTAGCAGGAACACCATCTATCTGGTTTAACCATACATTCACTAGCCTCACATACTTAGAAAAAAGGAGAAAAGGGGCAGATGTGAGTGTTCAAGTCCACAACATCCCACATCTTTACCACTTTAGCTATCTGCAGTGAAAGTTAATAATTAGAGTACTATACATTAAAAGGGGAGACAGTATGCCCAACTTGAACAAAAAAATGTGGCCTGGCTAACTATGAATGAATATTTGCTGTAAAATTCTTATCAATGTTATAAGTGTAGCTACCAGTTTGGTTGGCAATTTTGATCTCATTCTTTTAAGTCGCATATCCGACCCTTTTTTGGCTGCACCTTTTTTTTTTCACACCTAAGGTGTTTTTGATTAGAGCTTATATAGATGAACTAATGTAGTTGTATCATCTTCCGTATATGAGACTTGCTACTCTGTGGATCTGTTTAGAACCATTAAAGATCCAGATAGTAGCATAGAAGGGAGGAGAGTGGGAGCTATACTAATAGCAAAAGGTTGGGCTTAGTAGCTTAAGTGGAATGTCAACTTCAAAGACAGTTTTCCTCTCTCCTCTTTTGATATATATTACTCTAACTACTATCTTTCATACTCTTTATTATTATTTTTGTGAGCAACCACCTTCCCACTTCTGGCTACAGACAGTGAAAGGTGGTAAAGAAGTGGGTTGTTATGGGCTCAAGAACCCAAATATGTTTGTTTTCTCCTTACTGTTATTATTTTCTTAAGCGTGTGAGGCTGGTAAAATTGAGGTTAAACAGGATATACAATGTATTTCCAATGTAATAGAGGTCTTACTTACACCAGTACCTCAAAAAAATAGTGTAAATTACATAATGACCCACCCTATGATTTGTGTCCTGGTGTTGGATATTTGTTTTGTGGCTACTTTTATTTTGCACTTGTTTTTCTTTCCCTTTTTGCACATTCAATTCAGTTTTGTAGTCAAATAGTTTTAAGTTTCTTCTTCCTTTACAGGAATAATCTTGAATAATCCATATGCAAATCTGTCCAGATTTTATGGCAATTACATCCAGCTTCTTTTTGGAGTCAGATATGAAAAAGTGACAACATATTTAATTTCTTGGTATTAACAAAATATGTATCAAGTAATTGACAATACAACTGATTAGGAAAGAATATTCTATTCCACAAAATATGCACAATAACATTGTTGATTTTAATTACTGATTAGGAGAGCAGAATTATTAGCACCTGTTACAAATGTTAAGTACACAAGTTTAAGTACTGATTTTAGTAATATGCTTATGCTTCTTGGTTAAATTCACAAATCATAATTTATTCTCTTGCAAGAAATTTTTTAATGTAGAATCAGATTTTTTTTTTTTTTCTTTCAATTAATAGCACTTCCTCATATTTTTGACTGCTTGAATTGTTCACAAAAATTTTGATATTTTGTTACTTAGTACTCTAAATATTCCATTTGACCTACTGATTTTAATGGTATTTAACTTAAGTTTTAAATTATTCTAGTGTTGGTAAAGACAGTAGTGTGCTGTTGCTAGTGTTTTAAATAAGTGTTTAGGTTGTATCTGTAGAAATGTTGAATACAGTTCCAAGAAGGTATTCATTTAGTTCTGTAGGCTATAGTTAGGCTTTATTTAAAATAATATGTTTAGCTTCTGTCTCCTTAATTAAGGGCCATTGAATTGTTGAAAAACATTCAAAGAAGATCTACTAGGATTAAGGAGGAGGGATTATGAGGATACACTAGTTAGGCTTTGAAAGCCCTTAACTTTTCTCTCAAAAGAAAACAATTTTAGAGGCGATAAATGGATGAGAAAGTTCTATACTGTGTACTACAGTCTATATTAGTGGTTTTAGTCAGAGTGGATCCATTATGGAAATGTATTACAAAACAAATTTTTGTCAGATTTTTTTTTCAGACTTCATTCATTTTTTAATCCACTTGGATGTCTACATGATGGTTCATTCCACCAAGCTACTGCTGGTGATTGTTAATGCTCTGAACTTTTCAGTACTGGCAAAATTTTGTCATTCCTCCTTTTAGAATGATTTAGGGAATTTATGCTTAAGATATTTCTATGTTAAATGTTGAGAGAGGTAGGAGAAAGAGACAATTTTTAAAATTGGCATGGTTGAGGAAAATTTTAGTTTTGTGACAAGGTGGTTGACCCTTGGAATGGATTATCTTTTAATGTGAATGAGGCAGTCATTTTAAGGGAGTTTAAGATAAGGTTATAGATGAGTATTTGGAGGATTGGGGTTTGATTTAGGTTATTTCTGTTGATTGATTTGTATGCTGGGATAATCTCAAATGGTATGAGGCCTCTTGTTGCCATCATTTGCCAGTAGATGTTATCAAGTAACATGAACTTTATAGCATCTTTTCCATGGACATTGTTGTCGGGTAACATTAAACTTACAGCATCCTTCCCAGGTATTACAAGTTTACTGTTCCTTAGTAAATATTCATTATTTTTCTCACTTTTGAAGATGGATCTAACTGTTAATTCTATTTTGAATATCACCAGTATGCTTGATATAACAACTAAATTTGGAATATTGCAAATACAGACAATAGAAGATAATAATTAAAATGCCTGCTAAATTTTAAAATTATGTGTCACATATGTCATTGCTCATGCACATACCACATTTTTGCTATCATAGTTTTTGTCACAAATTGTCTATTTGTTGCATATTTTGACAGAATTATATTGCATAGTTGGAAGTTATAGACCCCTTTCAGTATCAGCTACGATTAGATATAACAGAACTTGTAAGACTGGTGTCAAGACAATCTTTGGAAATATGAAGATTTCATGGTCCTTTTTTGTTTTCAGTATATCATATAGGGTTTTTAAAGTGTTTTTGGTATATTATTCTTAATTTTATGCAAAACCTTAACTCTGATAGACTATCAAATAGAAAATAGCCCTTAAAGTCTTAAGAGCTTTAACATGTGAACCCATTGTTTATCTTTAGTAAAAAAAGATAGATTAAAATAATAAAAGACAAAAGTTTTAGTATTTTGAACACTTGGTTATTCTTTTTATAACTTGTGCTCCAGTGTATTTCCCTTGTCAATAGTGGCTGTTAAATTACAAGGTAAACTTGTATTGCAGATATGCACAGTAGATGCTAATTAGATGCTGTGAGAATGTTTAAGGCAGACATAAAATGGAAGGAAAACGTGCATGCACATACGATGTAACTTGTATATGGACCATCCAACTAGTTATATTAAAAAAAAAAGTAAAGGTTGGGAAAAATTGAAAACATTACCCCAGAAGGGAAATTTTGTCTCCTACCACACTTATCTCAGAATCTTTATGCACATACAAATCATGGTGCTTAGCAATGCCAGTTGTTGATATATATATTTTGACATATTCTCACTTAGCCACTTTGTGTTATTTTATCTTGTATTATTTATGTAATTTGAATTTAACAATAGCTAGGTCACATCACATGCAACATTTTATTGTTTACCATCAAGTTTCATGGAAGTTTTTGAAGATACTCTGTAATGCCATAGTCTGAAATATGTTTTATTTTACCCTTTGTAACTAGATTATAAACTATGTGTTGGTAGTTGGTAAAAATATGGGGAACCTATGTGACTTACTGCAGCCTTAGCAGAAGGAATTGATTGACCTTTCAGTTTGGTTTTTACTCAGATTTTATACAAAGTTATTACATAATAAAAAAAATAAACTACAAGTATTATCAATGTAAAACATTAAAGTATGCTTTATTAAAAAAAAATAAAACTGGTCTTGTTATGTTACCAAATATTAAAGCCTTTAAAACTTCCTACAAGAGTTGCATAGTCACAGAGCAAGATCGTTTTTTAAATGAACTAGTTTACAACAGATTGTATGGTGTAATACATATTTCATTTGGATATGCATATTTAATTATAATAAATATTATTGATTCCATGTATAATTCTACAGTGTCAAGAAATGTTAGAGATGTATGATGAAAAATGTATTTTGAGAATAGTAATATATACCTGTGAGTAATGTGATGTTTGTGTGTGTATATAACATTCTAAATAGGAAGATTGTTATTTCAAGCTCATGTTTAGATATTAGTTTGTAACTGCAAAGCTCTTATTAGTTTGAATCAAGAGAAAAAGAAGTACTAATTAACAAATTTCAGGTATGCTTAACTTTAACGGCCAAAAGAATGGCTGCCAAAAATTGTTTGGTGAAGAACTTGGAAGCTGTAGAAACCTTAGGGTCCACTTCCACTATCTGCTCTGATAAGACAGGAACGCTGACCCAGAATCGTATGACAGTTGCCCACATGTGGTTTGATAACCAGATCATTGAAGCTGACACTACTGAGGACCAGTCAGGTAGAATTTACACAATTCTTACTTTACAAGTACACCACCTCTGATTCTGATATCTCATTGGCACTCATTGAAAAGAGCAAATGTTTGTTGTAAAATAGTTTTCTGTGATGTAATAAACAGTTCAGTCACTAAATTCCTTTGTTATCAGTGCTCTAGCCAAAATTATGTTTAGCTAAAAATTGTTTTTTTTTTTTTTACTTAAGTGATACTGTCTCGGAAAATGTGTATTTGTAAGTTTTACAACATTAGTAATTAAGACATGCTGGGAAAGCTGGTAGTTTAGACTCTTGCATCTTTACAAGATAGTGTGCAAAACAGCTAAAACAACTGTGTAGTACTTGGGGTATTCAAGAGTACCAGAGTGAAAAGTTAAAACTTTGTTTTGGAAAATTTAGAGAATCATTATTTTTTTGACTTGATGTTACTAGATATTAAATTGTCATCAGATGGCTCTATTTTTAAAAATGGATATAGGAAAATAAAATTGATTTTTCTTAATTCTTTTAATATGCTTATGATTTATATATTTCACTGTTTTATAACGTTTTCTCTATACTGCCATGTACATGGCAAAAATATATAGTAAACTTGATTTTCATGGAAAATACTTCTCAGATGATTTCTGAAAAATTAAGCTTTTAAACAGATATATATGCACACTCACTCACATGTTCTTAATATAACCAATATATTTTGTCTGAGTCAAATAAAAATAAAAATTAGAAATTTTGGAAACACTTTTGGTTCCCCATCTATGTGTTGCAAGAGTTCAAAGATACAGGATTTGTTAACTGCTTGTATTTTATTTTTATTATGTTCTGATTGGTTTTATTGACTAAGAAAAACTACTTTATCAATAATTTGGTGTTTTTATTATAATTATCTTTCAGTTGAGACAGTTCAGTTAAATCTGGTTCTTAGCTGCTAGAATATTGTTTAGGAGAAAATTTTGTATCCTTATGCTATAAAGTAATGTTTTTAGGTGTGCAGTATGATAAATCTTCTTCTGGTTGGAAGGCTTTATCACAAGTAGCTGCCCTGTGTAGTCGTGCTGAGTTTAAAGGAGGTCAAGAAAATGTACCAATTTTGAAAAAGTGAGATCACTTTTAACTGTAATATAGTTTCTAAAGTAATTGTAAGTTGATCTGTATATAAAATATAAAATAGAGTAAAAAAACAAATACATTGCCCAAATTATTAAAGGGTAATTGGAATTTGTAACATCATAACTACACCAAGCAAAAACCATTATAAAATAATGTCAATTGTTGTGAAATATAAAATTTGATAATTTGTATGCAAATTTTTTTAATATAACTTGTTTTACTACATTTTTTATAAATTCAGTGCATTTTATATTGTTTGATATAAATTAGTAACTAAATTACTTAATATTTATCACTGTTTCAACTATTATACAAGTAGTTTAAACTGAGATGCTCTGTTATAATAATGCATGTATAAATCAGACAAGTTGTGAAATGTCGGGAAATGATTATTTCAGAGGTCAGAAAGATCTAGAAAAGTCTGTAAAAATTAAAACTAATTTTTTTGTGGCAACCTTGTTTAAGCATCTAACATTGCCAATCTGCCTTTACTGTTTTTAATGATCATACTCCATATTATAGTTAATGTTGTTAACTGTAAAGATGTAAAGTCACATATTACAAATGTTAATTTGTGAATGTCGACAGAATGACCAATCATTTGCATTTCAATTCACATTACTTATCATCAGATATCTTTTTTGTGTAAAATGAACTTGAGGGATTATTATTTTATAACAGTAATTTTGTCTTGTCATAGGTGTGATATTACAAATTCAGACTATCCTTTAGTTGTTTAGAGAAGTGGAGGTGGTATTAATCAATTGAACAAAATATATAATATACTTGATTTCAGTTCCTAACATTGTCTCGTGCCTTCCAACTAATGAACAGTCTTAACATGTTCAGCTTTAGTTTTTGTTCTGTTGTTGCTAAAAATAAATTGAAGACAGATTCTATTTTAAAGTGATCTTACTTAAATGAGATCCTAACAAAAATTTTGGACACTGGTCTTTCATATAATCAACTTGCAAGTTAATGTATTGTAAGCATTAAAGCAAATTCTTTTCAAATAGGTTGTTAGAAAATATAAGTTTAACTCATGCATAGAATTCAAAACCCTTATTACTTCCTATATTTAAAATACTTTGTATTAACAAAGGAATATCAGTAGAAAACACTCATGGTTTTTTTTTTCTGATGTAGTTTCTGGTTTTCATTAGTGCTACATGTAAATTTCATCATTAGTTAGTTAGCATTACATAAAAAAGTCTAACCAAACTTTACTTAAATTTCTGTAGAGAATGTGCAGGTGATGCATCAGAATCTGCTATTTTGAAATGTATGGAACTTGCTGCAGGAAGCATCCAAGAGTTTCGTAAACGTAATCCTAAAGTGTGTGAAATTCCTTTTAACTCTACCAACAAATATCATGTAAGTGTATTTTGGTTGTTTATCTGCTGACATTTATTTGGATTTTTATCATTTATATATTTTTCTTTGGTTCCAGGACTTCGTATTTATGAAAATGTAAAGTAAACAGTCTTTCACAGATATCTTTAACAATGAAGATATTTCATGCTACTTCTATCCACCTGTATCACAAATAAGTATTCCTACTAGGTAAAGCATAGTTATCTAAGGAAGAGTTTGTATGTGGATTTGTGAATGTTTTTATCCTCACTATATTAACCCTTTCTATATGGGTCACAGGTGAAAGGCCATGTCATCTCGTTTGTTGACTCACATTAAAATTTTATTGAACTACTATTTTATGAATTTATTTCAATAAGTTTGTTATCAAACTGTAGATTATAATTCAAATTTTAAAACTATACATTACTCAATTTCTTAATTTAAAAGTAAATATTAAAAAACACTGATAAACATAGATTTTT